ATTTTCTCAGAAGAGTCTTCATACTCATGTCAAAACCAAGTCCTGTACATAAACTCATCGAGATAAACAGTATATCATCATTGCAATCCTTGATCCATTCACCGATCTGATCCGTTTTTTTTTAAAGTGACTCCAAAAATTTTCGATGGAACTAGTGTGAGTTCCATCAAAAGGATCGATAAAACCATTTGCATGGTTGACGACATGATGAATGTAGTCCAGATTTGATAACTGACTTTAACTACTCCATTCATCTGTATGAGTAGTCGTCCCAAGCACCACTAAGCGCTGGATAATAGGCAATAATACATCTGCACTCCGATTAGGGATCACCTCAAAGTATCCAATCTGGAGGCTGATGTCATAGGTCCCCAATACCCATTGCTAATTTGCGCTTAATCTGCCTCGATTATATTTCCTTTTGGTTAACACCGGCCCATCAAAGTGAACAATGCCGCCAACTCCTCCAAGTACTTGAGTCAGTGTGTTCATTTTCCACGATGATAGGTCTCTTCAGTACTGGTACCATTACACTGCAGATACTTCCGAATTTTCTGTCTCATAAGCTGTTACTGTAACTGGTCTTTTCAGTACCCAGAAATGACAAATCATTAAAATTTCCCTTAAAGGTAATTTAGATTTTGCGAAAAAAGTAACTAAGGAATGTGTAAACTAAAATAGAATGGCATACCTTCTCAAACTGAATTTCTCCTTCGGCACTCACTGTACCTTTAAACAAACCCATCGATACAGCTAGTGTTATCTTTGGATACGCATGACACCTTCACAATGACAATTTTTCGACCTTCCTATTAGTCCGTTATCCAAACAGTAATCAAAAAACAAGATCTGGAGCGAATCTGCAACGCAGAAGGTGTGTACAGCATCCATAATTACCTCTGGATAAAACAGAATCACCTGATTGGTTGCTCAAGGTCATTTATTTGTCCGTTCACTAGGTAGTTTCGGTTTGGGCTGCTATAATTTAGAGTTGCCTATTTTTTCATTCCTTTGAGATGCGAGTACAACTCAAAGCCCTGAAGTTTGAGGTGGGGTTTAGATTTCACAGGGTTGAAGTTGATAGCCTCATAGTCGAACTCCTCTCCTGTTTACCGGGCTTACTGCTGCCTGATAAACCAGGCGATGTTTAGGGTACAGCCGCCGGAAATCGAATCGTGGACCACATTGTTGAGCAATCTACCATTTAGCCAGCGACACATTATTATGCTGATAATTTTATTCATTATAGTCCAGTTATGACACAGTCTGATGTCCTCTTCTAGACAAAACATCTTCGGTGTAAATTCCATTATGAAGTTAATCTATTTGAATTTTCATAGAATGATGTAATTCTATCTTCTGACAATTGCTTTCTTAATTGGTGTTTCATTTGTACTAGCATTGATTTTTTTATTGACTTAGATCTCGACTTTTTTGTCATTTATCATATTTTTCGTTAGTTGATATATTTGTTCTATGGCCATATGTATATTACTCGCATATCCATCTGAGTACTAGAATTCTAGAAAATCTCTGGCATTCTTCGTGTTCCCACTGTTTAGAATTTCCCTGTCAAATTGGAGTCTATAGTTGTATACATGCATATACTGATATGCAAGAATCCATCGTTTAATTCCTTTAGGTCTCCAGTAGCAGATAGGGCTTCAAATTAGAGGTTTGAAGTTTCGATAGCAGTGATGTTTATTTTTACGGAGGTGAGGGGGGTAAGCGTTACTAGCCTCATGCACAGCCTTCCTTCTCTACCGGTCTTATTGCCGGCTTAGAGAAGTAAAAGGGTGAGTAGGTTGGGTATTGAACCGTCGACCACATGCTTAGTTGGCCAGATACGCATATGAAGGATATGATATTATATGCAAGAATTACATGTCACATCTTTTTACAGGTAGTTTATGTTCTTGAATTCAGAGTTAAAAAGAACTCTCATTTTGACCTATTTTGAGCTATTCACACACAAAGTTCACGTAATCTATTTTGTAGATGGTGTCAGTCTTACCTTCTTTTGCTATTTGATGGGCTTTTTCGGTCTCCACAGTATTAAATAAGTTGACTTTGCTGGTTGTTGTGCGATATCTACTCGAATTGGTACTAATGTTTTAGCCGGTAATTTCAGAAATATTTTGCATATACGTGAAGAAGAATTAGGCAGTGGTTAATAAGGATAGTTTCTTGCTGTTACTATCATTTTTTGTTATAAAATTGTGAGCGTATCCTTTTTTTTATTGATGAAAATTAATCAGTATTTCTTTTCTATTCTTTTCACAACTGGAGTGCTACAGTGTGTTGTAGCATATTAATATATGTGTAAAACTTGGGCACTGTGGTAATAAGTAATTCCATATTAGTTTGTTTATTAGATATATATTTTCAAGTATTGGTTCAGGCAGTGACCTGTGGTTCTAGTGGGAAGCCGTGACCAGTAGGGCACAGCAGGTCGAAATGAGGCAGTAACTCATAGAAGAAGACATTGCAAAATGGTCACACCATGTCGTGAATTGGCAGAAGTTAGAATTCAAGAACCATTGGATTGGGTCCCAGTGGCTCAATGGTATACGAGCTCGCCTTGTAACCAGAAGGTCCTGGGTTCGAACCCCGACGGGTGTGCACTGATGAAGAGTCCCAAACTAGGCTGACGAAACAGATGTCTAGTAGTCCCAGGATTTCCAGTGGTTGTCTAACTGACTTCATGATGAAATCCTCCATGCAATCATATTAGATATATCACACAGTGAAACAGTATTATTTACTGCATGACAATGTTTCAAACACAATTTATTGTTCACAATCATTTCATCAATTGTAATCACACGACTTCGAAACTTGAGTTTTATAGTTTTCTTCCTCCTCTCCTGTTTGTGGTCGTAGGGGTAGTAGAATTTTTCAGATGCTCAGATGGACAGGTGTTGAATCATCCCTATTACACGTATTTTCAGCTGACTCGATGAACAAATCTCTCCCTCCACCCTGTTACAGTAGATTTTAAAACTGTCATGTTATGCCATACATCCTATTGTATGGTTGTGTTGTGTGTAATTGCAAGTGGTGAGTGCTGTAGCTGAACTATTCTCTAGATTTCTTATCTTATTTGGGTCAACTAATCTAGATTTTGCTAGATTTTATGCTCAACTAGTTTGACCTATATATTTGATCTGACAATCATTCCAGCAGGGCATTAGATTAAAATAAACTAGAGTGTGTTGTAGCCTTTTTTGAGTTTTTTTTGTGTGCCATTCGACTATTACTATAATAGTTGAGTATTCAGTGAATTCTAGGTCAATGTCACAGTTAATACTGCATAGATGATTAATTGCACTATGAATCTATTAGGTATGAGAACACATAACAATACATAACAAGACCACTATATACTCCATTTATATAGTTCCATTGTTTTTCACTTGATTTGATTGGTAGTACTATTTTCCATATTTCGGGTATGAGTTCTGAATCATTTCTATTGCATGTGTTGGGTGTAGACTCGATGAACCCCTCTCTCCACCTACCTATATTTCTTCTTGGAATTTCAACCCTCTCCCACCACCCTATTGTGTGGTTGTGTGTTGATGGATGGATGCAGTGCAGTGCAGTGGCTGAGCTTTTTCTAAGTTACTTATAATCGCGAATTGGGTCAACCATTCTTACCTTAGCTAAATTTTTATGTTCGGACAGTCTGACTGCCCCGCCCAATGTACTAGCTTGACCTATGTAGTTGATCTCGCTCACAGTCATTGCAGGGTATTTTATAAAATATATTACTTTGTTTAATTGGGTCAACCGACAGGGTCCTTTAACCTACACAGCTTGTCCTTGAGTGAGTTTGTAGGTTTAAATGACACCCTAATTCCTGCTTTATTTAGAATCCTACGTAGGGTCTCAGATGTCCCCTCTTTATATGGCATAACTGTAGATGACTTATATTCTCTCTTATTTATGTTATTATTACTGAATCCTTGTTCATCGAGTCTACATCCAACACATGCAATAGAAATGATTCAGAACTCATACCCGAAATATGGAAAATACTACTGCCAATCAAATCAAGTGAAAAATAATGGAACTATATAAGTGAATTTAGGAAGTCGTGTTGTAACAACAGAAGACAAGGGCCGGCAACAGATCGTTTTATTACGGAAATCAGCACGTATTTATATATATATATTTCATGTACATTATTATAGCTTATTCAAGCAGACAAACACAGTCTTCTGATTGGTTGTTTCGGGTTTCTCGAAAAGTTAAGCCATACATCTGTGAATCTAATTTGCCCACGTTAAGTCTGCTGTGATTGGTTGTTGAATCAGTCTTGTTCATATTTTCTCACGGCCAATATTAGTGACCTGGACATTGATGTAACTTAATGTCTACCAACTGGCTTAGCAGCCTGCTCTCACCACAGTGTGATTACCTTGAAATGATTATGAGCAGTAATAAATTGTGCTCGAAACGTCATCAGTAAACATAACTGTATAACACTGTGAGACTTTATCAAAACAAAAAAAAATTTACCCATTATGGAATTATACTCTACCACAGTGCACAAGTTTTATTTTCATAAAAGACCGCTACATAGTTTTGATAAGTATAAACACGACTGTAGAGCCTCTGAAGATGATTTCGTCGATGAAGAAAATGTTCGCTGAATTTGTCTTTTATTTTCTACATAAGAAGTTACTGATTTGAAATTCATGATTATCTATAATCTCATGATATCAAAGTTTTCTTAACATTCTAAATAGTATCCTCTGCGGATTTTCCCCTACATCTCTTTTCAAAATGAAAAACTTTTTGAGTCCTGCGATATCAGAGAAAGATCACTAAACTAGTTTCAGACTGATCAATGAATTTTGTTTTACTTTATCGTGTTAAGATTTTCAGCTAACTAAGAGTAAGAGATCCAGTCAATCATTCACCTCACTTTATACTTTTATTAAACAAGCTTTTTTTGCTATTGTCATTTTATCATTTTTTCTTTTGCATACTAGTGACACTCTGCGATCCAGGTGATATCGTCCTACTAGGATCTGATGGTCTAGTCGATAACTTTGATCCGGTGATTACACGTTTAGCTGTTCCAGAATCACCACATTTAGATTTTGTTGATGAAGAAGACGAAGAAGAAACAGCAGCAATTGAAGACCAAGATGAAGAACACCATGAACATGAAGAAGCTTCTCCCACGGATGATTTAGGAGTTATTAATATTAGCAATAGCAGTTCTGCTAAAAGTACTTCCTCCTCCTCATCTAATTCTACTAAATCACCTACTTCTCCGTTATGGCGTCCATCCAAATTATGGCTGAATAATTCTTCAATAACTCCACCACCTCAAGTAAGTATTTGGCCACAGCCGCCACCACCCCCTACGACAACTGATTCAATTAAATTATTCTATCCAAATGTTACAACCATCAGCCAATCAACGGATAATGAAACCAACACAATCTGTGCTCAACAAATTAACTTTACTAATCAACTCGAGTTGAACTGGTATGAGCGTAGACGATATGCTGCAAAAGAACTTGAACGTGTCTGGCATGAATTAGATATTAGTACAGAGACGCAGAAAACTTCACATGTATCAGATGGGATATTTAGTTCAAAAGATTTATGTGAAGCTTTAATAAATTATGCCTATCATATCACCACGAAAAGACGTGAATGGTTAGAGAATCCTGAATATGCACATTTAAGACCTAGTCAAACTCCAGCTCATAGTAGTAATAGTCAAAATCATAATAAAAATATTAGTAATAGTAATAACAATAATGGTGATGGGGATGGTAATGTTAATAATAAATCTTGTAATGATAATAATGGTTACTCATTCGATACACAAAAGAAATGGTTCACTGATATGCTTAAACGTATGCCGGGGAAACTAGATCACGCCACAGTTGTCGCCTATGAAGTAGGCGTGTATCACGGCAATGAAAATGAAGTCTATGAAGAGACAGCACATCGATATGCTACACCGATGACATTGAATTCACCAGTGCATAATAATTCAGTGATTCCTTCAGAGGTAAAATAATGTGAAATCTTTGTTCGTGTTTGTACAGGAATAACTTCAGAGGAATACACTTACTTCCATTCTTCTTCATCGTCTTCTTATTTTCCCGTGATATTTCTCTTTGTGATCATATTCTTTATTTTTCAGTTATGAATAGTTTAGAAAACACCTCATGTATAGACAGATCCTTTCAGTCATCTCTTTTTTCATTCTTCAATATACACAGATAAAATAATCCTATTTTATAGTATGATAATATGAACAGTAATAATATTATTATTCAGGACATTTTTTTAAAAAATTTACATCACTAAAAATACGTACATACATGTACATATATCATTTATCCATCAAAATAGGATGCTTGAAACGCGCGCTTCGCTGCTAATGTTCAATGTTTCAATATTTTTCAACACTCATAGCATATAATAGTAGCGTTATTATTTATGTAATTTTGAAGAAAAGAAAACGTGTCACATATGTATTTTTGAGAAAAAACAAACGAACTATTTCTGTTGTTTTTGTTTTGATTTATTTAAATATTTATTCATTCATGTACAGTAAATTGATAAGTCTTGTTCTGTTTCTGTGTTTAACTCTATCGAAAAATCATTATAACATGAAAATACATATGCAAATTAGGATTAATTCTCATTATGAATATGATAAATATAAAGACACTTTTCGGAGAGAATCTATTGTCTTATTATCTTGGATAATTGTGTTTTTTGTTACAATCTATCGTCAGAAAAGAAAGCCGCAGTAATAGACAATAATATATTCTTGTAAAAAAAACTTATAAAATACCACGAGATGATGAGATTGATGTCCAAGCACTCTTGTGGCTGAATAATTATGAATTTTTATTTTGATGTGGTTGTGTTCTCTGAGCTGGATGAACGGAGAGATCACTAAAAACAAGACCAATGGCGAATGAAATCCAATGGACCAGTCCTACCTTGATTCTACGGCACACCCAGAATACACAAGGCAAATATGCCTTTACGACCAATTGTATCACTCCCAGGAACTCCAACATATAATTTACCCAAAGAATTATACAGAAAACTAAAACACCTAACGGAATCTTGTGATCACTCTATCAACTTCACTATCCAATTCCTAGAGAAAATTATAGGCATCCAAATAGATGAACAAGAAATATTGGTATCCTTCGATGTGACAGCATTATATACCTCTATCGGACAACAGCTAGCAATAGAAACCATGGAGCGATTGCTTAGTAATGACAAACACCTTTGAGATTTGAGTTTTATAGTTTTCTTTCTTCTCTCCTATTTGTCGTCATAGGCGTAGTAGAATTTTCCAGATATCAGGGACAGGTGTTGAATCATTCCTGTAACATGTATTTGAAGCTGATTCGATAAACAAAGCTTCCGATGTTAAATTGAAGTGTTAAATAGGAAAGATGATGGTATTTTTACAGGAAATCCACACATTCAAACAGATATTTGAACTTCCGATCATCACATGTCAGTAAAAATAGCATTGGTGGAATGTTTAAGTTACAGAGCACAAAAACTAAGTAGTACTAAGGAAAATCTAAGACAGGAAGTGATACACATAAAAGAAGCCTTGAAACTTAATAATTACCCGGATAAATTAGTCAGGAAATATGTAAGTAAATGTAAAACCAAAATAAATAATGACAGTAGCGATAGTGATAATAATAATAATAATGATAACAACAATATTGGTGATAATAATAATAATAGTGATAACAACAATATTGGTGATAATAATAATAATAGTGATAACAACAATATTGTTAACGATACCAACAATAAGGAATCTAAATTATCAGTAGTAATTCCATACAAAGAAGGAACCTCGGAAAACTTACTCAGAATTCTTAACAAGGCAGAAATAAAAATGGCTGGAATTCAAACCAACCACAAACTCAATTAGAAACAGGCTTTGTCGGTTAAAGGTTCAATCCTGTGGAGCCATTAAAACAAAACAATTTAGTTTATCTAATACCCTGCCTGTAATGATTGTCAGGTCAAATACATAGGTCAAACTAGTAGAACAGGGGCAGTCAGTCAGACTAGCCGAACATAAAAACCTAGCTAAATCTAGATTGGTTGACCCAAATAAGATAAGAAATCTGGAGAACAGTTCAGCTATAGCATTCACTACATGCAATCACACACAACCGTTCAATAGGATGGGATAGGATGACAGTTTTCAAATCTAATGTAGCACCAGGATGGAGGGAGAGATTGATGACAGAAGCTTTGTTTATCGAATCAACTGCAAATACATGTAATAGGAGTGATTCAACACCTGTCCCAGATATATGGAAAATTCTACTACCCATACGACAAATAGGAGAAAATAAAGAAAACTATAAAACTCAAGTTTTAAAGTCGTGTGATTACAATTGATATGATTATGAACAATAAATTGTGTTCGAAACGTCATCCAGTATACAATACTGTTTCACTGTGTAATACATCTAACAAACAAACTAATATGGAACATACTTCCAATTCAACGGCCAAATATATGAACAAGTCAAAGGAACACCCATGGGATCGCCAATATCAGGTTTGATTGCAGAAGCAGTGATGCAAAGACTCGAAAATATAATTCTACCAAAGATCAAAGCCAAGATTTGGATACGATACGTTGACGACACATTTGTAATAATCAAAAGAAACGAGTTAGATAAAACTCACAACTTAATAAACAACGTCTTCAACGACATCAAATTCACAAGAGAAGAGGAATCCGAGAACAAAATACCATTTTTGGACGTCTTAGTCAGGCGAACAACCGCAGGGGAATTAGAAACTCAAGTTTATAGGAAATCAACTCACACAGACCAAATACTGAATTACAACAGCAACAACCCAATAACACACAAAAGGAATTGCATACAAACACCATTCAAGAGAGCAAGGACTCACTGCAGCACTCCCACCTTAAGGAAAATTGAAGAAAAGTATCTCATGGACGTCTTCCAAAAGAATGGATATCCACGGAATTTCATCAAGAGACATATACCCCCAAGCCAACCTATCAAAGCAAAAGCCACCAAGGAAAACACAAAGAAAATCGCCTTACCATATATAAAGATATCTCAGAAATCACTACAAGACTCTTCAAACCTTATGAGGAATTGACGTCGTACGCAAACCAACAAAGTCGCTTCACTCAATTCTATGTCAACCAAAAGACTCAACAGCGAAAGAAGATAAAACCAACATCATCTACAAAATAAATTGTAACAACTGCGAAAAACACTACATTGGCCAAAGTGGACGTCCCCTTCGTCTTCGTATCCACGAACATAAGCTAGCCGTCAAAAGACATGATATCCACTCCCTCATATCACTCACTGCATACAGACAACCACGGACATCAATTCGACTGGGACAACGTTCAAATATTAGACAAAGGAAATAACAAGAATGCTAGAGAATTTTTAGAAGCCTGCCTGGTATTCCAGTGAATCATCAATCAATAGACACATCGAGATAGACAAAATTTATCAACCGATAAGAAAGAAACTTCACACACAAAGGGTCAAAGTTCAAGTCAAAGAAACAATCAGTTCCAATACAAGTAGCCTAGAAGGTGTGAAAACACACAAAAACAACCAATCACGTCCACGGTCACAGACCAGGAGAGATGATTAATAAACTCGTGGAGAAATTTAAAAGCTCACTTCAAACTGAAGTATTCGCTGAAGATGTCACCCAGTAGGGTGATGAAAGCTTCGCAAATTAACTATCCAGCTCAGAGAACACAACCACATCAAAATCATCCACCTGAGCTACAAATCTCTATCATATCTATGAGTTTTTTCGATACAGCGGGGCGATTTTGTATGAATAGATGGAGTCAGTTGGAAGTTATCACTTGCCTAGAAACTAATGCCCAGCTCGTAGTTTTCGATTGAGGTTCCACTTGAGAGCTTGGCACAGAATGTCACTCAACGGTCGTCTAAGCGTATGTCCAGTCCATCTCTGTTTCCTTCTGTTTGAATATCGAGCGGTAAGTTGCTGATTGGTTCATTGCCAGGAGAGCTCTTTATGCCTTATCCTCTCTGGTTGTCCATATGATCTTCTGTATCGAGCGATAGCAGTTGTTGAAGGCATAATAAAAAAAGGATGTGATGCATATAAATTTTAAATAATAATAATAATTTTCTTTATTCCAGAAACAGTACTAGTGGTACAGTGGGGAATTTTCAGCACATATCTACAATATTGCATCTAATTTCATCACACATTTAAAAGGAGTATTTCAAAAAATAAATATAAAAAAAACACAAAAGTAACAAAAAAATGCAAAAAATACCAAGAAGTAGGAAGGAAAATAAACAACAATAATAAATAATATTTCAGTATTGGGTAGTGGAAGCTATGATATGTTTAAACATGGTGAACAGTAACAACTATAATCATACGAGAAGTTATGAAATGTAATTAGGAATGTTTATAGCCAAGATGATCAGTTAATTTGATTGAACAACACTAAACAATCATAAAATAAACATTTCAGGGTTGTGTTTTATTGTCAGCTGTAATGCGGTGTTTGTAGTGGTAGTGTGAGTAATCCTTCAAAATACAAAATTTTACGATGGTGATAATCGCGTTCACAACCAAGATTGTCAGTTAAAATTGCTGAACAAAAAAAACAATCACAAAACTAATATTACATGATGGTTAATGACAGGAAAATTTCGTAATACTCATAGTGATAATATAGTCGGAACCTGTGGACACACAACAGCGGGAATAGAGTAAAGTACAAAAAAGTAAGCCAATGATAATAACGTAGGTAGCTAAGTATGTTTAAGAAGGTTGTTCACTGTAGAATATAAATAACAGAGAAATAAAAGAGCCAAAATTATGTTATTTACAACAAAGGAAGTCATAGGTTTCTCGCTTAACATTGTCTCTGTCACTTAGAACACGGCCTGGCCAAATATGGTATCGTTGAGTTCCTGTACTTAGTTGTACGAGCATATACATTATTTTGTACTGATTTCTGATTCTACCTGATGAGATACAAGGAGAGAGTAGGGAATAGAGGGGGTGTTGAGGGTCGGAGAGTATCGTGGTTTTAGACCATTTTTCGCATGTATTCAGATGCCTTTCTACTAATGTAGTGACAAGCTGACTGAGTTTTACACCACTAGTACTACTAACTACCTTCAACATCCTTCTCAGGATGATATAGTCCTTTTTCAGTAACCCAGGAAAGACTAATGGGGAGCAGTAAAGTAGAATAGGTAAGATACGAGAGTTGACAAATTGTGAAAGCAGAGGTCCGGTGATTCCAGATAGTCTAAGTTTCTTAATGTAGTAGGTTAAACGGAACACTTTCTTAGAAATCGTTTGGGTGTGAGATGACCAAGTAAGGTCAGAAAATAAAACTAGTCCAAGGTATTTTACATTAGACTTAGTTCCAATTTTATTCCCATCAATGCTACAGGCTGGCGTTTTTAGATATGGTTTATGCCTAAATGAGAAGTCAGTAGTCTGGCATTTTGAGGGATTCAGCATGAGGCCATTAAGTTTAGACCCCTGACTGATATCCGACAGGAAACTATTTAATATGAAACAGTCTGACTGAAAATTAACGGGAATCGAGACGGTCAGGTCATCTGCATATTTCATGAAGTTGATTTCGTCTGAAAGAGGTAAGTCATGTAAGAAGAAGGAAAAGAGAAACGGAGA